TTGTTTTGTTTTGTATTGTTTTGTATTGTATTATATTTTATTGTATTGTACTATAATTTATTATGTTCTGTTGTATTACATTGTATTATATTGTATTGTAATTATGTTATATTAATATTATATTATATTATATTATATTATATTATATTATATTATATTATATTATATTATATTATATTATATTATTATACTGTATTGGCGACTAAACCCTAGACCCTGAGCCCTTTAGTATCCTGGATGGATGCATATATGGATTGAGTGTTTGGTGTTTAGGTTTTAAACTCTAGCCCTAAACCATAAACCTTATTACCTCTAATAAATCCCAGCATGCATGCATGCATGCATGTATGCATGCATGCATAGTGCATGCATGCATAGTTGTATGTATTACGAGTTGTGTATACGTATGTGTGTTCAGGGCAGGCTGCTCAGGGTTCTGTGTTGAGTGCGTTTGAGAGTTTACATCGTCGCTTAAGGGGTTTAGGTTTAGCCCTAGCAGCAAGCAGCAGTGTTTCTGCTGTATTACAAACATATGTATCTTCTTTAGTATTACATTTTCTTGTTACTTCTGTTGGCACTCTCTCTACCTGGATCACTAGCGATACGTTTCATGATGTATGCAGCAGACTGCCTGCAGCAGAGTAAGTATACACTCGAAGCACACAAATTATAATCAATATCCCCTTCTTCTCTCCTCTTACTTCTTTTTATTTATTTATTTATTTATTTATTTCTTACTTTCTAGGCCCCGCCCTTCTAACTTCTTCTTGTTCTTTTCTTTCCTTCTTGTCTCTGTTTGTTTTGGCTTAAACGCAAACAAAACACCCAAGAGAAAGGAACTGCTGCTGTTTCTGATGCTGCCGCTTCTGTCACTGTTGCTGCTGCTGTTGTTGCTGCTGATGCTGTTGCTGCTGTTGCTGTTGCTGCTGTTGCTGTTGCTGCTGTTGCTGTTGCTGCTGTTGCTGTTGCTGCTGCTGTTGTTGTTTCTGCGGGGGCTCAGGTGCGTAGCGGACATCCGTTGTTCTCTAGAGGCCAGCGGTGCATGCGTTGCTTCTGTTGAGAATTA